TTCTGAAATGCCCCTCCATAAGTATATGTGCTATAGAATCTTCACTTCCCACTCACGTCCTTTCTGTTCCTTCAACCATGGTCCACCAAATGTGATATCCTTTCCAGAAGGTTTTTCTCAGAAAAGGCCATTGTACAATAGCTCCTTTAAGTTACTAGACCAGAAGACATATCAATAAATGTTGAATTTAAACCTTGGCCCAGAGATGGGTTAAGGGATATAAGTAAAGAATTTTTAAAGCATCACTGAGACCAATGCAAATTTCCTGCCAAATTTGGGATTTGGCTAGATACATATTATCCTAGACTATCTAATTTATATAGTTGGCGGGCTTAATTACTAGCCTCTGCTAAGGGAAAAATGGTTCAGTCAGCAGGATAAGTAAGAAACAGCGGAAGAAAATTTACATAACTTAAATGTGTAGATATAAAGAAAACGGCTTTGAGAGAGCAAAAAATAGATACACATGAAATTTTTTTATAGAGACTTATAATTTTTCCTTTCTGGACGATTTAACCAATACTCAAAATTGGCTGGGTGCAGTAGCTCACACCTATAATCCCAACATTCTGGGAGGCTGGGGCAGGAGTAGCCCTTGTGTCCAAGAGTTCTAGACAGGCCGGGGCAACATAGCAAGACCTCATCTCTACAAAAATTAAAAAAATTAACCGGGCATGATGGCACAAGCCTAGTGTCTCAGCTATTAATACTTGAGTGGCTGAGGGAGGAAGATCACTTGAGCCCAAGAGTTTGAGGCTGTAGTGAGCTATGATCACAGCGCTGCACTCCAGCCTGATACAGCGAGAATCTGTCTCAGGAAAAAAGAAAATTCAAAATTATAAATAAAGTAAAGATAATTAATAAAAGGCTTTAAAAGTGAACTTCAGGAAACTTTTAGTTTGAGTGGACAGTTGAAGTAGACTCGGAACCTGAAATGAAGGGAGGCTTGTTATTTCTCATACCAAATAGGCTCAGATTGCAATAAGGGACTTAATCAGAATTAACACCAATGGGATGGAAAATTGCCAAGTTAGGAGCAGTCCCACATGTAGCCAAACATTTTCAAAGCGCTTTAAAAAGTAAATGAGCTAAGAATCGAACCAAACGTATGACCCGTCAGGTAAAAATAACTGGCCTGAAATTCCTCTGTTCTTCAAGAATAGAAAGTCTACAGACAGGGGCACCTGGAGATCTGTAAGCAGAAAGGCCAGTGAAGGAAATAATGAATCATATTTTCAAGGAAATAGAAAGATAATTATCCAAGATCCATCCAGTGATAATGTGCTGAAGGAAAACCTAGCACCCAGCAATTCTCTGTTGTTCCTCTAAAGCCCCAAGGGGAACTGTCTATAAAGACGTGTACAAATGAACAACAGTGCAACTTGAGGGTAATGAACTTGCCACCATCCCTACCACTAATTCTGCTTCTGTAGAACATCTGATCTCTCAGAGTAACATTTAAAGCTGAAAAGCAAGAAGAAACGTGAATTGACTGGTAATAAATACAGAAAGGGGGGGAAAGAGTTTTGTCTTAAAGTGAAAATGTGTTGTGGAATAACATGAAAGAAAGTAGTGAAAACACAAACTTGCAGATGTATGTAAGTTTTGGAAGAAAAAGACAAAAGGGAACTTTTCTTGCCTTGTCTGAGTAAAGCAATTCAGAAGCGAGAGTTTCTATAAATACTAAATCTTGTCATAAAACCCAACAGTTTGAGGCTATCAGGAGACCCTTTCTTTTTGTGATATAAGTTCCACCTTACATGGCACTTCCAGATAAAATATAGCAAAAGAGCTGTTAAGACTCCCTAACATTTTCCTACGTATGTTCACATAATAACTGGTCTAGGCATAAAATCTTCACTATGCAAAACTCAAAAACTAACTGAAGGATTAGCTCTGATCCAAAGATGTGTGCTCAGAACATTCACAACAAAAACCATAATAATCCATTGATTCTTTCAAGATTATCCTAAAAATTCAGTTTTGTGGTATGTGAAAAGATGGAAGGCCCCCCCTAGGGGCCCTGACTCAGCAGGAAGCACACCAAAGCGCCCTTGTTTATTCTCCTTGTTTAAATCTAGTGTAGCCTCAGCTAATTTTGTTAAAACCTCTTCAGATCACCTTAAATTATGATGTTATTACACGCGGTATAATTCTTTTTTTTCTTTTTTAAGAGACAGAGTCTCACTTTGTTGACCTTACAGCAACCTCCAGCTCTTGGGCTTAGGCGTTTCTCTTGCCTCATCCTCCCTAGTAGCTGCGACTTACAGGCGGCCGCCACAAAGCCCAGCTAGTTTTTGTTGCAGTTTGGCCGGGTCCGGGTTTGAACTCGCCACCCTTGGTAAATGGGGCCAGCGCCCTACCCACTGAGCCACAAGCTCTGCCTAAGTATAACTCTTATTGATAACTGAAAATATCCAACATTTTTCTGTTAGTCTATTAACTAATTACAAAAGTTTTATTTTCTCTTTATCACATTGCCACCAGCTGGTTAATAAGAGAAACTCTTATTTCCTTTATCTGATGAAAAAGAATCTCCTGATACTGTTCCTGTAGTTCAAGATGATTTTGCTTACAACAGATCTTTTGAAATTTAGGTAATATACTTTGCTGATGTGTCTTGTTTTAAAAATATATTAAGAAGATGTCATATAAGGTTGGCTATGCAAGTCTGTGTTACAGAATTCAACTTCTCGCCAGAAGCCAAATCAGTTGAAGCTATCAAACTTGTGGGTATCTTGAGGGCTGGTCAAATTGGTAAAAATGAAATGTAACATACACATTGATATTGTCTATGCTTATGGATTTAGTCACAACTTTGGAATTCTATGGAAGTAAAAAGATCTACTCAATGAAAAAATTTTGAGATATGAGTAGAGGCCTATATCAAACATTCCTTAGAACCTAGAAAAATGATTAAGCAGATCTTCATGGCTGCTTAAGACTGAAGTTCTTTCTTTGCAAAGACTGCTAATAGGCCAGAAAGACAAACTGATGAAAACAAACATAGATTTTATAGATTCATAGAGGACATGTACATTATAAATTCAAATAGGCAAAATTTTTAATGAAATAACCCATTACAGTAGGAACAGATTGGCCACATTAAATAACACAACAGGATTTTTTTTTTTTCTGGGACAGCAGAGGACATGCCAATTTATATTTAATCTGTGACCAACATAATTTGGAGAAGAAAACTTAAAGATAGGTCACAGGCCAAAGCGACCCAGTTGTACCCAGCCATCTGGCCATCTGCAGATGAACTGAATCCTCCTTAGGAACTTAGCCTTCAGCTGAACATCCCCAGGTGACTATGATCGAAGCAAAACAGAGAAAACAGTCGCCAAGCCAGACCCTGCCCAAATTTTTCCAGCAGATTTATGAATAAATGATTGTTGTTTTAAGCTACTAAATGTTGGGTTTATGCAGCAATAAATAACTAGAATTTTTTTACATGAAAGGCATGATAAATACTTAATTTTTCAACCTTACCAACTTTAGAATAATAAAATGAGTTGGTGCCCCCAGAAACTTCTAAAGTTATTCAATAATGATTTTGGTTGTGTCTGGAGTTTCACTAGAAACTAATGGCTTTTAAAAATACGTGCTGTGTTTTCAGTCTTTGCAGCCATCACTCTATCAACGTTCACACTGGCCCCTCTTAATCCTGTGGAAGACCCTTCCAGCTGTCCCTTCTGTCCTTTCAACATTCTTCCAGCCTTCTCTAACAGTGTCCTTGCTTTCTGGCCCAAGAATATTTCTGCACAGCCCTGACCTTGCTCCCCAAGCCAGCTGAGTCACAGCTGTATAAAGCCATGTGAACAGGACAATCAAGATGTATACAATTTTTATCTCCCTCAAAACCTCCTTTGTACAACTTTGCAGTCACTATCCTCTCCCTACCTCCACCACATTCTTCTACTCTCCACCTCAGGCCCGGGCAACCTGGGATTTACTTTCTGTCATTATAGACTAGTTTATCTTTTCTAGAATTTCATAGAATTATGCAGTAAGTAAATAAAGTATTGTTTTATAACTGGCTTCCTTTAACAAAATTCAGTTGTCCTTATTTGCACAGGTCCATTTCTGAACACTGTTAAGAACGTCTAATATCCTTAACATTCCTTATTTAAAATGTCTATTGGCATCACATTCTCTAATCCAGTGGTTCTCAACCTTCCTAATGCTGAGACCCTTTAATACAGTTCCTCATGTGGTGACCCCCAACCATAAAATTATTTTTGTTGCTACTTCATAACTGTAGTTTTGCTGTTATGAATCGTAATGTAAATATCTGATATGCAGGATGTATTTAGGCGATCTCTGTGAAAGGGTCGTTCGACCTCTGAAGGGTCATGACCCACAGGTTGAGAACCACTGCTCTAATCTCTCCTCTATTTGAAAAAGTCTTCTCTCACCTTCATATTTGAAGGATATTTGTGCTTAATATAGAAGTCTAGGTCAACAGGCTATTTTTTTGTCAGCATTTTAAAGATATCCTGCCAAGGTCTCTAACTTGAAGTTTGAGAAAATAAGGATACATTGTTATCTTGGTTCCTCTCTATGAAATGTCCTTTTCCTCCCTCCAGCTTTTACAGCTTTCTTTGGCTTACAACAATTACATTATGATGCACCTTGATTTTTTTTTATGTTATTCCGCTTGTTGGATTTCTTTGATCTATCGCTTATGGTTCCCATCAATTACAATTAATGTACTTGTATTTCAAATACAAGTACATTACAACAGTTAATATTATCCCACAGGTGGCTGAGGAACTGGCTTTTTTTTCACTTTGGGCTTTAGTATGCTTCAAATTCACCAATCTTTAGTTCTAAAGAGAAATCTACTATAATCCCATCTATTCCCTCTCATCTAGCTAGTGACCAATGAGGACAAAATAGCAGCAGTGAAGTTTTTAAAATAAATCTTAGACATACTTGAATGATGATATAAATGTATTGGACACAAATATTTAAGGACTATTAATTTAGAAATGTGTAAGTAGTTTTTTCAACACATTATGTTTATAAAATGATAGTTTGTGTATGTACACGTATATACATAATGCGACACCAAAAATGTGTTGTTATTGTACTTTTTTAATTTTGACCTCTTTTAAAGATGGTCTTATTACAATCTGTGGAAAATACTTTATTATATCATGCTAATATATTGCAAAGAGTATTTCAAAATGATACAAAATTAACAGGCTTGATTAAGTGAAGATCCCATGATCCAAAAATTTTTCTTCCTTAGTTTTTCACAGCAATTGCTCAAAGTCCATATGCTGATTTTTCCAAGAAAGATTATTCTAATAACTTTGAGTGTTCGATCCGTGCAATGGTCCAGTCAGGCTTTACTCCTTGTGTAAACTCTCTCTGAAATCTAGGAAAAACGTTGTGAATAATATGTTACATCAGCTCAAACACTTCTTAGGTAACTAAAAATATACCGACAAAATTGAAGTATCTTCTCAACTGAGTATTTTTAATAAACTAATGTACATTCAGCATCTGCCAGTCTGAGAAAAACTTGGCTATCATTCTATTTGTTGCTAGCTAATATGAGAAGAAATAAATTGGATTCTGGTGATGAAAATAGCATTTCAAACATATGTATGACTAACATACAGAAAAAAATAGTATTTCAACACTGTTACCAGTTGAAAAATAAATAGTATAATTTGGTTTAGATACATAAAGTTAATTTTGAAAATAACAGTGGTCACGAGCTGCCCACGGTTTCAGTAAGGAATATCAGAAGGGACAAAATTTAGTACTGATGACAGTGATCTTTAATTATAAATGATATCGTAAAAAAACAATTTAGTAGATTTAAATTAAGTACTTCAATACATACTTTGGGTAATTACAAAGAAAGCAAAATTGAAAAAATAACATATTTCTTTTAAGTAGAGTCAAAAGATGAGGATATAATTTTCTTTTACCTTAGGGAAACAAGATTACATATTCTTTCTTAGGACATTTTTGGAATTTATTATTTTAAAGAAAATTTTGTATAACCGTAGCAACATAATAACAGTATTCTCTTTTAAATATTAAATTATGTCTCTACTGACTTTGCTCCAGTTCACTGTTATAAATTTTGTTAGCACAAAAACACAAAATGCAATATAATGCCTCTTTTAAGTAATTTAACTCCCAACTGTGCAGTATGTCCTTAAGGTCAGAATCCCTTTATTTTTCATTACTCTGAACCCCTACCAGAGTACTCGGAACACGGTTGATCAGTAGCTGTCTACTGAACAAATGGCCATGTGCCAATAATGGCAGATTTTACTTTCCAAAGATGGGCACAACCGTCCCACGTGCTCTTTTACAAGGACCCTGGTATTCGCCACCTCATAAATTGGTGGAGTCACTCCACACCCTTTAACTGTGCAGGTCCTGTGACTGCTGTCACTAATAAAACTATGGCGGTAGTTCTGGGCATAGCCCTTTCCTGGTCCAGTAGCTTCCATTTTCTGCCTCTTAGAATCCAACCACATGTAAAAGATGTGACTTGTCTGAAACCACTAGAAGTCCAAGCCACAAGGAGAGGTCCCAGAGAGTGAGACACGGTGGAAAAGCCAAGGAGCAGCAAGGTGCCACATGAGTGAGTGAAGAAGTCACCGTGAAAACAAATCCTCCAGCTCTGCCACTCCAGCGCATGCCAGGTGAAAGAGAGAAAACCCACAACTCAGCCCATCCAAAACGCCTGAGCAGACAAAGAGCAGGCAACGTAAATGGCTGCCTGAAGCCACTGAGTTTTGAAGTGGTTTGCTATTCTGCACAGATAGCTGAGACACCACTTAATTAAACTCAGCAACATTATCTCTTTCTAATTTCTTACTTCCTGTTTCATATCCCGTTAGTCTTTATGACCTTTTCATACATAAGTTGTCAAATTTCAATTCTTTTCTTCCTAAAATCCCTTTAGTTTCTATACCTTTACACTATCCTCCATTTCCTAAAGAAAGGAAACAATGAAATGTGATTACACTTACTCATAACTTGCACTAAGAAGTTGTTTAGTTTCCACATTCTGATCGCCCAACTTAACCTGGAACACACTGGCTCCTCTTAAAGTTTCACTGGGGATGTTGGCACTGGTTAGATACCAAAAGCACATCAGGATATTAACAAACTTCCTTCCTTAGAGAAAAAACACACACACATACAAATACACATAACGATAATCCATCATCCATATATCCAAAATAAAATCAGAAATTAGCAGTAGTTACATCGTGGTTACAGGTTAAAACTTGTGCTTATGCTGGTCCAATGTAAGACTCCGGTATTGATACTTTCTTACTTTTAGAAAATCTCTTAGGGTATGTGGCA